TCATCTTCAGAATTCAGGTTAAGAGTTATCACCTCCCAGAAGTCTTTCCCAGTATCTCTTTCCTCCCCTATCCCACTAGCACTCTCTACCACCCACTTGGGTTGGGTTTCTTTCCTCTTTGTTCCCTCAGTCCCCACAACACAGTCACACATATATCACATGCACTGCAATGGTCTGCTGACTTTCCCTATCGCCCTTCCAGCCTCTCCAGCCACTCTCATCCCACTAGACTATAAATGATCTCAAAAGTAGGGACTATTGTCCCTGCATAGTATTGGGTTATAAACAAAGAATCCTATGGAAATCTTCAGCAAAATTTAATTTTGGGACTTTGGAATACAAAGTTTAACACTTAGAAGGTGGTTTTGTTTTGTTTTGTTTTTTTACGTGCCACAAACCTAAAGCCATGCAAAAACAAGAAATTATATACATATCAAAACATATACTCACAAAGAACATAGAGTAAAAATATCACTAAGTCATTAATTTGTACACAAAAATGAAATGGGCTTTGCTCTTTTCATTCGGCTGATCGCATTACTTAAAGGAAAGAATCTATAACTATAGAGAACGAACTGATGGTTACCAGAGGCGAGGTTGCTGGGAAGATGGGTGAAATTAGGTCAAAGGGATAAACAGTACATTTATCGTGATGAGCACTGAGTAATGCACAGAATTGTTGAATCACTATGTTATACTCCTAAATATAAAACTGTATGTAACGACACTGGAATTAAAATAAAAATAAATAAAGAGTCTAAAAGTCTCTACCTAGCATTCAAAAATCTGTCACACTCTATAGTCTGAATCTAATTTGCCAATTTTGACTCTCCTTGTTCTCCAAGAATGCCACCTACTTCAGTCATAGTGGTTACTTATCTCCCAAACTTATCAAGCTCATACTTGCAGGTTCCCTCATCCAGAATATGTTTCCTTCACTCCAGTTACATTAGTCCTACCTTTCTTAAAGGTCCAGCTTGTTTTACTACCTCCTATTCTTCCCCCATGATGATCTCTCTTCCTTCCAACTCTCTTGGCTTTTTTACCGTTCTAACATGGAAAACTTGGGATTTTTACTGTTGTTTACTTCTCTAAAAATCTTTTGAATTGTGAAATATAAGACACACACAGAAGAGTGCATGAAACAAAAGTGAAAAAAACTCAATGACTTATCTCTAAGTGAAAAATCCATGAAACTTTCCGCAAGTACAGAAACAGGAAACTGTTAGTACCCAGAAAGCTCAAGTTCTTTTCTAACCACTAATACCTAACCCCCCACTTCCCACACTTCCTAAAGAAAGGTAGGCACTATGCTCACAATTATGGTAATCCCTTTTGTGCTTTTCTTTATAGTTTTAATCACCTAAATACACAAACCCAAACACTATAGTTTAGTTTTTTAAAAATTTTATATACATGAAATCACACAGTATGTCTTTTGTGTCTGGCTTCCAGTACTGAACATTACATGAGAATCATACATGTTTTATAACAATGTTCATTTTAATTCTGTATAGAAAATATATTTATGTTCATTTAAATAAATGGACAATTCATTTTTATCTATTCTGCAGTGGATGGACCTTTGGGTTACTTAGCTTTTATTTATTTTTTAGTAATCTCCACACCCAACGTGGGGCTTGAACTCACAACCCCAAGCTCCAGAATCCTATGCTCTACTGACTGTGCCACCCAGGTGCCTTTGTGTTACTTTAGTTTTACAAGGTATCGATGTCTTGTCTCCCCTGCTGGAATTCAAGTTTCTTGAAGCCAGGGACCATATATTATACTATTTTATATTTACCTTAGTATTTGTACAATGCTAAGCACATAATGGGTACCCCCGATCATGCTAAAAATGATTAAATAAATCTATGAGTAGTTTAGGAGTTGAGAAGAAAATAATTAGTGCTGGAAATCAACTAATAATTTTAGAGATAGTTATATAACTGGCATTTTGGAACAACACTACTACTTTAATAAATCAGAAGGTTTAACCTCTCCTATTTATTTACACCTAAGGATTTGTCATTTCTTGTTCTTCCTAAGCCAACTGAAAGGTAAAAACATAATTTGTCAACTATTTTCAAAATAAAATGAGAACAATTCAAAAGGTTAATTGTTACATGCTCATCTTTGAATGGTATCTTGCCAGAGTTCCTTTATTTTTTACTCTATTTCCTTAAATTTATATTAACTATTATACATTTAAAAACACACAAAGAGAAGTCCAAAGTTAGATTCTCTACAAAACAGAAACAAAAATTCTAGTATCTAAAGTCAGCAGGAAATTAATCATTCCTATTCAAAAGTAAAATAACCAAATAGATGTTTAGTTCTAAAATGCTCTTCTACAGTCAGTGAAGGTTTCCTAGCCACTGTGTAAACATCTCAAAACAGTATTTATACCACCTAATCTTCAGACCTACTCTCATGTTCTCTTGGAGAGTCAATTTTGTGTTTTCATTTGTTTGATATTTTTTTTTGTTTCTTTTTTTTTTAAATTTTTTAAAAATGTTTATTTATTTTTGAGACAGAGACAGACAGAGCATGAACGGGGGAGGGGCAGAGAGAGAGGGAGACACAGAATGGAAAGCAGGCTCCAGGCTCTGAGCCATCAGCCCAGAGCCCGACGCAGGGCTCGAACTCACGCACCGCGAGATCGTGACCTGAGCTGAAGTCAGACCTCAACCGACTGAGCCACCCAGGCGCCCCTCATTTGTTTGATTTTTATAAAACTAGAGCTTCATCAACTTTCTCAGCAAACAGGAAAATATACTTGTGGGCAAGATTTTCTGATTTTTCCATGTCTTGGTCAAGTACATATATGATGTCTTTAATATTAGTTTTACCAATACACAAGCTATAACAAGTCTTATAAATTTTGCTCAAGTTGGTAATCTGACATGACAAAAAATAGTGAAAGGAAAAGTGGTAAAGAAAATAAAATGGGGGCAACTGGGTGGCTCGGATAGTTAAGGGTCTGACTTTGGCTCATGTCATGATCTTATGGTTTGTGGATTTGAGCCCCACAGTGCACAGCCTGCTTGGTATTCTCTCTCTCTTCCTCTCTCTTTTCCTCCCCCACTCACACACTTTCTCTCAAAATAAATAAAAACTTTAAAAAAAAAGAAAAAAGAAACAAAGGTAATCCTAAATTTGAGGAATCGGTGCAGAAAAGAACACGTGTTATTAGATGTATGTAGCCGATTCATTACTAGCTAAGGACAATTATCAGAGCAAAATTTCGTATTTTTTTAAGCTTATTTATTTATTTTTTTTTAATTTTTTTTTTTTCAACGTTTATTTATTTTTGGGACAGAGAGAGACAGAGCATGAACGGGGGAGGGGCAGAGAGAGAGGGAGACACAGAATCGGAAACAGGCTCCAGGCTCTGAGCCATCAGCCCAGAGCCTGACGCGGGGCTCGAACTCACGGACCGTGAGATCGTGACCTGGCTGAAGTCGGACGCTTAACCGACTGCGCCACCCAGGCGCCCCTAAGCTTATTTATTTTTGAGAGAGAGAGAGAGAGAGAGAGAGCGAGCGGGGCAGGGGCAGAGAGAGAGGAAGACAGAGGATCTGAAGCAGGCTCTGCGCTGACAATAGAGAACCCTGATGTGGGGCTTGAACTCATGAACCGTGAGATCATAACCTGAGCCAAAGGCAGACCCTTAACCAACTGAGCCACCCAGGCACGCCCAACTTTAGTATTTAAAAAAAAAAAAATTTTTTTTAATGTTTTTATTTATTTTTGAGACAGAGAGAGATAGAACATGAGCTGGGGAGGGCAGAGAGAGAGGGAGACACAGAATCCAAAGCAGGCTCCAGGCTCTGAGCTGTCAGCACGGAGCCTGATGTGGGGCTCGAACTCATGGATGGTGAGATCATGACCTGAGCCGAAGTCAGATGCTTAACTGACTGAGCCACCCAGGCGCCCCCAACTTTAGTATTTTTTAATGTAAAGTAACACTTTAACTTGCTAAGTTTCTAAACAGAGGCCAATAATAAATGTGCCTTTATTATTATTGTATTTACTAAAGACTTTCTTGGAAAGGAAGTAGACTGTTTAAAATATTACATTTATATTTCTTCATAACCTCTTCATTAAAGAAGAAAGTGAAACACAATAAAAAGTTAAATTACAGAGGCACGTGGGTGGCTCAGTCGGTTAAGCACCCGACTTCAGCTCAGGTCATGATCTCACAGTTCACGAGTTCAAGCCCTGCACTGGGCTCCAAAGCCTGGAGCCTCCTTCAGATTCTGTGTCTCCCTCTCCCTCTGCCCTTTCCTCACTCACATGCTCTCTTTCTTTCTCTCAAAAATAAACATTAAAAAAAAAAGTTAAATTATAAATGAAAGATGATGTATAGTACTAGTAGCAAAGCCAACACATATATACCACAAATATGTACCACAAGACTTGTTATCTCAAGACTAATTCTATTATAAAATGTTCTATTAATAAGGGAAAACTGCAATTAATTTAAAAACATTTTCTAAATTAAAATATTCCTTATCAGTTATTGATATTTAACTTCTAAAGATCCAGAAAATAGAATTAAAAAATTATTTCTACTGTATTGTAAGAAACCTACCCAGTTTATTTTTGTAAAACAGCTAATCATACATGTTCCTTGTCGTTTAAAAGATTTTCCTCTCCACAGCTCAAGACAACTTCATTGTGTGGGCCTGCTTAGTTTAATAGGAAGTTATTTCACCTTCAATCTCGCTGGGGAACTACAAGTACCAAAATTTTACACTGTGTTATATTCTCTCTTGTCTCTTCCAGAATTTTGGAGTAATTTTGTAATTAAATTACATTTCAAGTAATTATACTTCTGGATTTCATCCTCCCCAAACTCCCCCATCCCTCAGATGGCTAGAGCACAATTCCAAGGCCAACTGAGCATTCATGAAAATATTCTGTCAGGTTACTTCCTAAAAACATTCTGACATTCAGGAGTCTTTGAGACGGGCTACCAAACCCAACTGCATTACCTCTTTATCTTTTAGTCCCAGGAGCAATACTTCTTCCATAAGGGTGAGGCGAATATCCTTAGAGTCACCAGAGTCCTCATTGTCTGGACTCTTGTCTTGATTAGTGTCTTCCTCACTTTCCACCTTCTTTTCAGAGTTCTTGCCTACTTCAGTGCGACGGGCCCGGTGAGTTAAAGTGGTCATTCTCACCTGTTTCGGGGTGGGGGGGGGGGCAGTGACAAAAAAATATCTGTATGTGTGCTTATGTAAACAAAAACATACATATTAACATACTACAAATGTATAGAAATATGAAATATATACAAACTTAAATAAAGGAATAATGACCAGAAAAACTAGGTTAACATATCTTTCCCAAAGTACACAGAAGGCACTGACAGAAAAATAAAATCAGTGATTTTAAAGACTGGTAGAAATGATTATCTTTTAAGTCTGCCAATTTTACGTGCATAGTCTATAACCCAGGAGTATATATCCATCATGGTAATTCCTTTCACAAAATGGATCCTCCCCAAGTTAAATATTATGGGACAGCATAAACATTGTGGAGCATCCAGGTCCAAAAGGCATATAATAATTTATATGTAATTTGTATAAGCATTCAATGGCACATTATAATACACAAAAGAGAAAATTAAAAAATAAGAAAAACTAAATATAAACATATATTCTCATATTTTCTTCCCATAACTTAATAACTCACTTCATGCACTCCCTTTGGAAATCACTGCTACAGAATAATACTTAGAAGATCACGTGTAGTAATTCTATATAGCCAGAAAACTTTCATCTCTACCCCTAGCTAGCCATCTTGCAAATACACAAACAGCTGCCAACAAAAAGTACCAGCAAGAGAATATTAAAAGATTAACAAATTCTTTGTCAATTACAAAAAAAAAA